CTATAGGTGCATTCTTAATGAGAATATACATTTTTTTCTTTCTGTAATTTAGGGAGTACCAGGGCCTGGAAAATATGACATTAAAAGTCAATTTCAGAAGACTGAAAGTATGACATCAAGTGTAAATGATCCATCACCTGCTTTTCTTTCTCAATCCCAGGTAATGTTCTACAGTCATTGTCATACATAGAATATAAGAGGTATAATGTGAAGCCAGCAATCCAATAGTGTTTAGGGAGATGATGTAAAGAAAAGTGATATTTAAGCAACTTGGAAACAGACATGGCCTGGGCAAATCATATTGCTAAAAAATATGGATAAAATGAAATAAGATTACAATATTAACAATAATATGCAAAGATAAATATTTGAATCGAAACTATTAAACATTTTCTATTAAGCAAATTTGCATATGTGAAAGTTCAGTTTAGCTTATAAGAGATTTTAGTCTGTGTTTTTAAATATATTTTGCCAATGAATATGTGGAGTGTTTATGTTTAATCTATGAGGACATGCGTGTCTTTCGGAGAAGGTTCTGAAAGCTCTCTGCGGAGCCTGGCCATAGGTTGTATCTACAACTGCGACTGGGGCGTTGATTAGTGATGCAGGAGTTTATTTCACAGTAATCATTTCACATTCTCCAAGGTATATACTAAGGGGATTTGAAAGTATCTAAGACATTTCTAAAGCAAGAAAATTGTAATATTTCATAACGTGGCAGCCTCTAGATCAAAGTAGTTGCAATATTTGTCCAACAGTACTGTGTACAGCTCTGATTATCTTTTTTAACTTGGAAGGTTATTAACCTTCAGTCGACTACAGGTGACTACTTTGGTTTCATTGTACTTAAGAGGCATCTCCTTGGAGACAAGTAGATAGATTGCAGATATATTTTGGAGATATAATTAACATTACTTTTTAATGGGTTAGATGTTGTGGTGAGGGACTAGGAAGAATCGAGAATGAATACCAGATTTCTGTCTTGAGCAACTTGATGGTACTTAAGGTGCTACACAAAACGGATGTGTGGGAACAGGATATTGTGTGTGTATGCCCTTGATTTTTAAAATACAATTTTTACAACTAGAACTCTCAGTTTTTATGCTGTTTCTGTTCATCTGCTTTATAGTCCTAATTGGACATCACTTGGCACCAATATTTTAAATATATTTTCAGAATTGGAAAATAATATGATATCAATTTTGTTTAAGGGATGATGAAGAAAAGAATAATGGTTCTAGGGTGAAAGATATGGAGGCGTTAAAACCAACAGGGCTGCTTGCTGGGGTAGTGTTAGTGTTTAGTTGAATATGAACAGATATATTAAAGACTATGACAGAAAAAGCAATCATGTGATTAACAGGGTGAACTTAGAACACATAATTTTTGGTTTATAGGAATAAAGATAGATTATATTTCTGGGATACTTATTTTAGTCATTGATTTAAGGAGTTATCTGGTATTTCATCTAAATGCATTGAATTTCCTTATATCTTCAACTGCTAATTTTTAAAAGATAAGATTTCCTTTATAACAGTGGTTCCCAACTGTTGCTGCATTTTAGAAACATCTGGGGAATTTTAATACATTCTGATACCCAGGTGCCTTCTTCCCTGTCTCTCAGAGATTGTTTCAATTGATCCAGAATAGGGGTCAAGCATCAGTATTTTTTTTAACTCCTCAAGTAATTCTATGTGCAGCCAGGGTTGAGTATTATTATTTTTAAAATATTGTACTCAGCCGGCCTCGTGGCATAGCGGTTAAGTGCGTGCGTTCTGCTGCTGGCGGCCCGGGTTCGGATCCCGGGCGCGCACCGGCGCACCGCTTGTCAAGCCATGCTGTGGGGGCATCCCACATAAAGTGGAGGAAGATGGGCACGGATGTAAGCTCAGGGCCAGTCTTCTTCAGCAAAAAGAGGAGGATTGGCAGATGTTAGCTCAGGGCTGATCTTCCTCACACACAAAAAAAGAATGCATGATGTATGGGCCGGCCCCGTGGCTTGGTGGTTAAGTGAGCGCGCTCCACTGCTGGCGACCCGGGTTCGGATCCCGGGCTCGCACCGACGCGCTGCTTCTCTGGCCATGCTGAGGCCGCGTCCCACATACAGCAACTAGAAGGATGTGCAGCTATGACACACAACTATCTACTGGGGCTTTGGGGGAAAAAATAAATAAATAAAATCTTTAAAATATTGTACTCAGCATCTAAATAATAAGATAGTATTTAGGAGAAAAATGGAGAGAGTCCTTTTTGGTTCTTCCAGTAATAAATTGTTTTTTGGTAGTGTTAAGATTTACTTACTTTATAAAGTGCAAAAACGCATATATAATATACTATCTTTTGTGTAAGAAAGGAGGGAAAATAATAAAACATGCACATAATTGCTTATCTTTGTATAAACACATTAAGGATAAACCGGCAAACAATGAAGTTGGTTACCTACAAGGGATGGTGAGGAGATGGAGTGGAAGCTCTGGTGCAATGCAGTTCATTTCTACTAGCTTGCGAGAGCCAATTTTTAATTTTTCCAGTTTTGCATGTTGGCTGATGTTATGATGGTAGTGTGAAATTAGCCACCATGGTGTTGTATTTATAGCACAGAAATCAGCAAATATTATAAATTTGGACATTTTCCCCCAGTGGTGCAGCATCCATAGAGTGGAAGGGAAATGAGAGGGAGTAACACTTATTTGAGTATACTTTTTAGATATATATTTGTCTTTTGGAAGCATGTCAATGTTCCATATATTCAAAAATACAGAGAAATCAATAAGAATGGGAAGGGTTTAAAAAAAAAAGCCTGAAAGCTGAAAGCAAATGGAAACAAATGAACCATTGTATAAATGAATACTCTTAACCACATTGAAGGGGAAAAGAGAAAGAATAATCCAGGTATCCACAGTGTTTGCTTACATCAGTCTTGGGTAGGTTGGAGTGGGCAGTAGTGAGTGCAAGAATTGCAAATAAATTCTGAATTTTTTTCAGTAGGTTGGTTTATTGTAATGGTATGGGTGAAGCAGTCATGAGCTGTTTCAGATATATTACAAGGCTGAGCAAAAAAGTCAATATTCTGAGCCAGGGCTTTCCCTGTGGAAGAAGATACATACAAATACGATTGGGGGAGGTGAGAAAGGACCCATGTGACAGATTTGAATTGAAGGTTTTGATGTGAATTTATCATGATTTCTAAAATATATACGTGTATATATTTATATATGCATATATGTATGTGCATATATGTGCATGTATGTGTCTCTATGTGTATGTGTGTGTATAGATATAGGTATATATCCTAGCTCTGTCTGCTAAATGAGCCAGGAAGCAGGGACTGGGAAGAGTAGCCTATAACATCTAGTTATGTCAGAAAGTAAGAAAAGTCTCAAAAAAAAAAAAAAACAAGATGAGGGCACATCATGGGGACATATGAACCAACTTGAAGGACCCCCTACTGGTAAAAAAAAAAAACAGTAATTAATTATAAATCATTAAAACTGGCATTCATGAGTCCATATGGATAATAAATAGATAAATAAGTAAGTAGATAGATAGATAATGAAGTAAATAATTGAGGGTGAAGGGAGGGCTCTTGCTGACAGTAGAGTGCAGAGTGCTTACTGATAAATATAGAAGGAGTGCTGGATTTGATCAAAATTGAAATCACCAGTGAGGTCCAGAGGACATCACGTGCCTCCAGATACGATACACTGAGAAAGCCACAACATCCCCTATCTAATATTCTATCCTGAAATGCATAACCTTAATATAATCATAAGGAAGCATCAGAGAAGCCCCAACTAAGGAAGGTTCTATTATACAAAAGAGGGGTGCTATATTCTTCCCAAGTCACGAAACACAAAGGAATGCTGTGGAAATGGTCCTTGTTAAAGCAGGCTGAAAGCCATATCTGACCCTAGGCTAGATTATGTACCAGAGGGGAAAAATGCAATAGAGGCATTATTAGGTCAACTGACAGATTTGGAATATGAATGGTAGATTAGATAAAAGTATTATATCATTGATACACTTACTGAAGTTGATAACTGTACTATGGATATGTAAGAAAATATCTCTATTTTTAGTAAATACATACCAAAGTATTTAGGGGTAAAGGACTTGATGTATATAACTTTCCATTGAATGGTTCTATATATATGCGCGTGTGTGTGTGTGTGTGTATAGAGAGGCAGAGAGAGGGAGGAACAAACATACAAACACAGAGAAAGAGAGAGAGAGCGAGCAAACCAGAAAAGCAGATAACAAATGTTAACAATAGGTGATTCTGGGTAAACATTATACAGGTATTTTCTGTATTATTTTTATTCATACAGCTTTTCTGTAAATTTGAGATTAATTCCAAATAAAAAGTTAAAAAATACGATTATACAATGCTATATTTCATGAGTCCATAGTTATACATATAGATACATATATATTATATTAATAAGTTAAATATTATAAGTGTATAATGAGTGAAGTTATTATTGTAAGTTTATAATATAATAAGTTATAAAGTTAAACTGGATTTATATATTACTTGAGTCGAACATTTTTTCTTGAGGTATTAAATGATATTGTTGAGTTAATTAAATATATATGTTGAGGAACTTTGTCAGTTTGTGTAATTTTATTACATAAAAGAAACCATGTTAGATCATGTAGTTTTTTATTTATTATCTTAACTTGTAGAATATTTTAAATGTGAAGACTGTCCATACACTGTCATCTAGAATCTTATGTTGAGCTGATTTCCTTTGAAAAGTCTATCTGGCTTAGTAAAGTACATAATGCACTACTGTATTAATATAGAGATGATTTTACTAAAAGCCATATATTTTACGTTTTGATAGGTACAAGATCTTAATTCATCTACATTTTCTTCACTCCATTAAGAAATAAATTAAACTCGCAGATGTTATATTACTAAGAAGGCAGCTTTTAACTCACCAAGTATCAAAATGTACGATAGTTTCTCATTGGCATATTTTCCCTTTCTTCACTAGAGATTTGTACCTATCAAATCAATCACACCAGCTCCTGGCACATACAATGAATCTCGAACTGCTTTCAAGTCCTTAAAGACAACACCAAGACTGAAAAATACCCCATTTGGTCAAAGTGCTGCTCGATTCACACAGAACTCTAGGACAGAAGAAATGCCAGGTTGGCAATTAATCCGTATATTTCTACTCTTTAGCTTTATGTAACTTAATATTCTTAACAAGGTGGATGCACCAGAAAGTACAATTATTTTTTTGTTCCATGGTTGGTGTCATTTTAAGTCAACTTTTTTTTAAAGTATTGACTATACACTAAACACAGATAAATAAAAATAACATACAATTTTAGTAAGATTTCAATTTAACGTGTTACATATCTTAATTGTAACTTTCTATTGTTTACCTTTATTCAGTAAATTTCCTAATTTTCTCTTGGTGGATCAACATATATATCAACTGTGTGGTCACTACCAGTAATATAACTTATGATATTCAGTTTCATTAAAATTTTGTTTTGAGACTGTCCAATCACATGTTCTAGTATTCTCAGTGGATATTCTAGTATACAGAGCTAAGAATATAGCACAAAAATAACTTACATAATTACTAACACATAGTTCTGTTTTGCTGTATAACAAACTTAGTAGCTTAAAAAACAGACCTCTATTATATCTCATTATCTTGTGGGATGGCTGGAAGGTAGAGCTCGGCTGGGACTTTCATTCAGGGTGCGTGCATAGCTCCAGCATTGCTGCCCCTGAGTAGTTGGTCTTTTAACATGGTAGCTCAGGGCTCCACAAGACCTGGCAGGATGCTGCAAGGCTTCTTATGACCTAATCTCAGAAATCCCAGGACATCACTTTTGCCACATTCTCTTAGTCAAGTCACTCAGGGCAGCACATTTTGAACAGAAGGACGTGAAATTTTATTTCTCAGTGACAAGGGTAGCAAAGAATTTGTGGCCATCTTTAATCTAATATAGATTACCCTCTGGCCACAAATATTTACATTTTTCCTATATGCCTTCTCAAGGCCTCAAGTGTCACGCAATTATGGTATAATCTTGAAGTCCAGGCTCTTGTTATCTAAGTCAAGTATAGGTGTAGGTGAGAATTCTTGGGTGTGGTACTTCATGATCAGCTTCCTGAGTATGACTCCTCTCTATTAGAAGAGCTGTGAACTAAAGATACAAGGTGTCTGCCCCACACATCTAACACACAATGGCGGGAGAGATAAAAGGCAATCATACTAGACACTGCTATACAGAAAAGAGGGAAAACTGGAGGCCCGTAGCAATCACAGGCCTAAAGAAATTCTGAAATCCAACCAGGTACATGTTGCCATTTCCTTGATTAGGGCCCACTTGGGCTCCCTGGGAATGAGTTTCCATGTTCTTTGTTCTACTTTTGGGCTCTTGGTTCCATCCTTTGAATCATCTTTCCTTTTCTATAAGAAATAGGCTGCACTTGCAGCAGGAGCTTTCTCCCATAGAAGATTGGGAGTCAAAAAGCCACTTTTCATTTTGCACTGTTGTCCTTTTCATTCCACATTGGTACAATTCTTTATAAAAACTTTGTAGATTTCTTATTGTATGAATTTATAATCAAATACACTGGACAAAAGCCACACTCACATGTAGTTCTTAGAAAAACTCTTGTCTATTTTGGGTCACCTTTGGTGCTACTGTGTTTCAATACTCTTAGATTCTTAGGGGCACCGTTGTTTAGCCAAGAGGGTCTATGACATATGGCCTTAAAATTCTTAGAGTTAAACTGAGAGATTCTCTGAGGTACTATCTTAAATCTTTCTGAGGTCGTAAGAAAGTTTTTATAGCCACATCCTGGATTTGATCTTTGCCCTCAGTGCATTTCTTGCTTTGAGAGCTTTTCGCTGTATGGACAGACTGGGGATGAAAAAGTGTTTTACTTTCAAACCCATAAAATCTTGATTCCTTTTTATTTTCTATTAATTCTGCTTGAAAACTGAACAGCTTGTCTCTTTCTATCCATACCTTCTCACACACAGCTAAAAGCAACTAGTTGGCACTTTTGATATTCAGCCTGGAAATTTCCTTAGGCTGGAATCCACTAATTTATAAGATATTTTCTTCATTATCCCAAGCATTAGTTTTGCTAAAATTTCTGCCATTACATAATACAAATTATCTTTTCTCCAACCTCCAATAAGATTTTTATCACTGATCTTGAAGCCATCACCAACTATCTCCTCAAGGCCCTTTCTCTAAGTCTTGAGTTGTTTCAGCTTCTGACCCATTGCCTGATCCCAAACCATCGCTACAAGTTTTGTTATAGTGATTTGTTATGGTAATATTTTACTCCTGGTACAAAATTATTTACTGTTCAACCTTTGCGAGGATGAGTCTTATTTTCTCCCCTTCAATCTTGGCTAGTGTGGTAGCTTTCTTGACGAATAGCATTGAGTTGAACTGATATTCTGGCACTTCACAGGCAAAGTCATAAGTTTTACAGTATACACCTGGGCCTGTTGAAACACTTGGGCTTGGAGGCCTGAGCCTCTAGGTAGAAGTCTGACTATTTGAAGACTGCCATTCTCAAGAGGTCATGTATAGGTGCTCAGCACTACCCCAGCTGAGCCTAGTAAGTAGTGTTTACCATGAATCTGAAATTCAAATTACTTCTAAATATGAATTTATTGAGTGACCCAACTGCCTTAATATTGGGTCTTGTTTTAAGTTTGATGATCCAATGTATTACGAATAAAGTGTTTTAAATTCCCCAAAGGTTAGTTTATTTGTAAAGGATAAAGTTCAATTATGATGACCTCTAAAATATAATCCTGAATCTTACATATTTTAAGCATGAGTGAGAATGGCTTTCACAGAACTTTGGTTTTGTTTTTCCATGTAGATATTAGGGTACAGTAATGAATTGGACCCATCAATCAGTCATAGAACAGATTTGACCACTTATTGGCTCAGAGCTGTTGCAGGTTACTGTTAGAAGGCATCCCTAAACTGTCTAATTCTGGGGTTCCCAGGCATTTCTACACTTAATGACTGGAAAATGAATATAAGAAACCTCTAATGTGAGTGACTTGTATGATCAGGTTGGCTTTTCAAATAGAATCTTAACGAGGTAGTACCTGAGATGTACACACCTTGAGGTCCCTATATTTAAGTATTTAAGGGAATGCTTAATACTACTTAATACTTAATTAAGATAATTAAGAATTAATTACCTTAATGTGTTGTGTTGTCCTCTCATGCTGGAAGAGAGACAGATCTGAGATACTTGTCTTTTAAGTACCTTGACTGGTAAAATAGTTCTCATTGCACTTTCTTTTTACCGTTTTCCTAAACATTATTGGTGGAGGAATGCTGGAAGATGGCAGGAATAAAACATATTAGCATTTAGGTTTTCTGAGAGTTGACACAACAGAATTTTTGGTAGAGATGGGAAATAGACTTTAAAACTGGAATATTTGAAAAATTTGAAAGAGTTTGTGAGCAACTTCTTTGAGAAACACTTTATGTGTATCAGGAGTACAGAAGATTTGACAATCTAGAATGACTTGATCACTTTTAATCTGGGAGAAAACTAAAGTATCATCTAGCCTCTTCCTACAAAAAGTGCCCATTTGTCAACTGTTTGTTTCCTGCCTACAATGAGAAAGGAGATTGCACCAGAATGTAAATCAACATCTTCCTTTGTGGAGAAAGACAAGTTACAAGATGCTTAGCAAAATAGTCCATTTACATTTAGTTGTAAGCTCCTTTTCTTGCAGGCTGTTTTTGGACAGGTAGCAGTCCACAGGCCACATTTTGAGTAGCACTGATCTAGTCAATTCCTATTATCTTCAGATGAGACACTTGAAGCCCAGAAAAACAAATGAGATTTAAGTGATGTTTTATACCTATTTAGTTGCAGAGTTAATTTAGTAGAATCTAGATAACATGAGTACAACCAAGTCAAGTGTGCTTTCAAGTATATCATCTTGCATTTTATGGATATTGCTGCTCACTGAAACTGATTTTTTTAAAATACTGAATTATAAAACATATACAAATATTTGTTTCAAATATTTGAATGTCTTGATAAAAAGTTTTTTCAATGGCATAGAAAGTTGTTTGTATTATTTCGAATGAAAAAAATAGAAATGTTACTCACTCAGGTTGCCACTGTAGAAAATATTTCTGGTTATAAATGTGACTAAAAGGTAAAAGCCAAAAACTAAAATAACTGCGGTGATAGGAAGATTGGATAATAGGTGATTTTTTTTTTTTAAATTGATTTTTAATGTTGCTACATCAACTTTTCAATACTTTTTGGCATCAAGAATTCTTTATTTCTTTCTTCCTTACTTTCTTCCTTCCAGTATAATTTATACAATAAAAACAGGTCATTTTAAGTGTTTAGTTTAATGAGTTTTGGTAATTGTATATAGTGTGGTAATCACCACTACAATCAAGTTTTGGAACATTGCCATCATTCTTAAAAAGTTCTTTCAAGCTAGCCCTGATGGCCTAGTGGTTCAAGTTCGGTGCTGTCCCCTTCGGTGGCCCAGGTTCAGTTCCCAGGCATGGAACCACACCACTGGTCTGTCAGTAGCCATGCTGTGGTGGTGGCCCACATAGAACTAGAAGGACCTACAACTAGAATATACAACTATGTACTGGGGCTTAGCGGAGGGCAAAAAAAAGAGAGGAAGATTGACAACAGATGTTAGCTCAGGGCAAATCTTTCCCAGCAAAAAAAATAAAGTCCTCTCATGCCCCTTTGCCGTTAATCTCCACCCCCACTCCTAGTCCCAGCAACTGTTTCTGTCACTATGATTTTGCATTTTTTGGAATTCCCTATAAATGGAATCATATATCATTCAGGATTTTGTGTCTGTCTTCTTTCACTTAGCATGATGTTTTTGAGATTCATTCACGTTGTTGCATTTATCTTTCTTTCTTATTGCTGAGTAGTATTGTTTGGGTATAGCACATTTTGTTTATCTATTCAGCAGCTGATGGACATTTGGGTTGTTATTATTCTTTTGGGCAAATACCTAGGAGTAGAATTTCTGGATCATATGGTAAATATATGTTTAACTTTATAAGAATTTGACAAATTGCTTTTCAAAGTGGCATACCATTTTGCATTCTTGCCAGCAGTATATGAGTTCTTTCTAAAAAATTACTTAATTTAAAGTTACTCAATTTAAAAGAATTAAGAGCATTTTTATTTTCACATATGATATTCTTCATAATTTTAGGTCCTGGGTTTTATAATATCCTAAACAATACTATAATTGACAACTTTAGCAATACCTGCTTGAAGAAACAAAAGCAAGGTGCATTTGGTTCTTCTGTTCCTCGGACTTTCTTCCTGGTTCAGAAAGAAGCTTTTACTACTCCTGGGCCTGCTGATTATCAGGTAATATGTGAATACCAAAATTATATTCTTTATTTCTAGTACCAAGAATTTAGGGTTTTTAAAAAAATTACATGTGATATATATGCCTCATCATTATAAGCCATACTATTATTAAAATTATTTATTTATGGTAACTTATGGCATAAGAATAAAAACTAATTTGGTTCACAGCTATGCCCGTAATTTATTTTTTTTAAATGGATCTAATTCTTTATTTCATTGAGGGTCTCATATGTACTTCTTTAAAAACTTACCTTCATTTTAAGATTGCTCCACTATTTTCTGAGAGTAAGTTTAGTTCTTCTTTAAATTAGGTCAACTTTGAATGCTCTTTTTGGTTTTATAGTTTTTGTGTAGAAGTCTTACACATCTTTATTAGATTTATTCCTTGGTATTTGATATTTTTTAATTCTATTGTAAATGGCATCTTTTAAATATTTTCATTGTTTAGCTTTCAGTTATTGGTATAAAGAAATATAATAGTTTGTTAAAGATTTGCTTTACCAGTGATCCATACTTCTTGCTAAATTAAATGATTAATTCTACTAGTTTATTATTAGTTTTTAAAAATTTCTCTCAAGCACAATTATGCCATCTGTCAATGGCAGTTTCTTTTTATTTTTTGTATGAAGATTAGCCCTGAGCTAACATCCATTGTCAATCCTCCTCTTTTTGCTGAGGAAGACTGGCCCTGGGCTAACACCCGTGCCCATCTTCCTCTACTTTATATGGGATGCTACCACAGCGTGGCTTGATAAGTGGTGCGTCGGTCTGTGCCTGGGATCCGAACCTGTGAACCCTGGGCCGCTGAAGTGGAATGCGTGGACTTAACCACTACACCACTGGGCCGGCCCCGGCAGTTTCCTTTTTTACCCCAATCATTTCATATTTTATATATATTTTTGCCTTACTGAACTTCTGTATCCCAGAACAAAGCTCAAAGACATTTAAAGAAATTAACAAATATCCAGCACCCAACAAGGTAAAAATCACACAGTGGCATTCAATAAAAAATTACTAGGTGTGCAAAGAAGCAGGAAAGTGCAACCCACAATGAAGGGGAAAAAGTCAATAGAAAGAGACCCAAAAATTATACAGATAATAGAATTAGTAGACAAGGTCATTAAACAATTATTATAACTATATTCGATACGTTCAAGAAAGTGAGAGAAATATTGAGCATGTTAAGTAGAGAAATGGCACAAATAAGACACAAATTGAAGTTCTAGAGATGGTAAATATAACATTTGAAAAAAAATACACTGTTTGTGATTGACAGCAGATTAGACAGTTCAGAAGAAAAGATGAGCAAACCTGAAGACAGTAATAGAAACTATCTAAAATGAAACACAGTGAGAAAAAGGACCAAAAAAGTTAATAAAGTATCAGTGAACTATGGGACAGTTTAAAGTGGCCTAATGTATGTTTAATTGGAGTCTTTGAAGGAAAAGAAAGAGCGAGGGAGCATAAAAAATATTTTAAGAAATAATGGCTGAAAATTTCCAAACTTTGATGAGAACTAAAAACCCACATAACCATGAAGCTCAACAAATCCACAACACAAAAGACATCAAGGAAACTATGCCAAGGCACATTATAATCAAATTGACTAAAATGGTAAAAAAGAAAAAGATTCTTAAAAGCAGCCAGAGAAAAAGGATACATAACATTAAGAGGAATGAAATTAAAAATGGCAGTACATTTCTTATTGGAAATGATGCAAGCCAGAAGACAGCAGTGCAACGTCTTTAAAGTATTGAAAGAAAACAATTGTCAACCTATAATTCTATAGTGGGCTGAAATATCTTTCAAAAATGAAAACAAAATGAAGAGCTTTTCTACAAACTTCAAGTTATAAAAATAAATAAGTCATGGAGATGTAATGTATAGCATGGTGACTATAGTTAATCTGAAAGTTGCTAATAGAGTAAATCTTAAAAGTTCTCATCACAACAAGAAAAAATCTGTAACTCTGTATGGTGATGGATTTTAACTAGACTTATTGTGGTGATCATTTCACAATATAGACAAACATTGAATCATTATGTTGTACACCTGACACTAATATAATGTTGTATGTCAACTTTACCTCAATGAAAAAAAAAAATGAAGGGGGCCGGCCCTGTGGCCTAGTGGTTGAGTTCAGCATGCTCTGCTTTGGCAACCTGGGTTCGGTTTCTGGGTGTGGACCTGCACCACTCATCAGTGGCTATGCTGTGGCGGCGACCCACATACAAAATAGAGGAAGATTGGCGCAGATGTTAGCTCAGGGCGAATCTTCCTCAACAACAACAACAAAAAAATGAGGGTCTTTTCATGTGTACAAAAGCTGAACTATTCATCTCTAAAAGACCTGCAGTATAAGAAATGTTAAAGGAAGTCCTCCAAGCAAAGGAAAATGTTACCAGATTGAGCCTGGATCTATATAAAGTAACATAGACTATCAAAGATGATAACTATATGGGTAAATATAAAAGGCTTTTGTTGGATTTCTCATTTCATTGAAAGCAGAACATCCTACATGTTTTTGATTTGCTTAAACTTACCTTCACAGAAGGTAGTGGAAGCTATGAGAGGAACTCCTCTTCTGAGCTTAGTTTTGACTAAATGCTATTTTACAGTTTAGAATTGTCAAAGAAGAGGTCCTGGACATTGTTGGACATATACAAGGAGTTTATTGAATCCCTGTTTCAAAATGATTGACAGAAAACAAGAAATGTTCCTAAGATCAGAGACTGTAGGAGAAAAACTGGCCTAAAAGGATTGACAGGAAGACACTCTCATGAGTAAAATTCTGAAATACAGTTTTGTGACACATTCAACTTTTTAGAGCTCAGATTTTGTCCTTGTTTAAAAGGACATTTTAATGTATGTGTGTATATTTATTATTCGTTCTTTCTCACTCTTAAAGAATTTGAGGAAACTTAAAAGAATACACATATGGAAAAGTAAAAGTAGCTAAAAATTAGGCTGGAAAATATAGATAGAATAGGTAGATATTCTATAGATAATATAAATAGAACTTAAACACTGGGGAAGTTTGAACATAGTTGTCAAATCATAAAAGGATATGTACAAAACATTTATCCTTTAGCAGATACTCAGGAAATAATAATTGAATAAATGAATACAAAAGAGAGGCATAGGACTGTAGTCCAGGAAGCTTAAAGAGAAGAACAATTTATTGTAAAAGATACTAAAGAGAATTAAATTAAAATGACTTTGTATAAGTTTGATTTGGCAAAAGAATTGATAAGTAGATATAGGAACTCTGTAGGGATGGGGTATATGTATAGGGATAGTAGAGCCACTGAATTGCTGAATTGGATTTGTCTTTTCTATCAGATAAAATTATTTTCAACCTAGAAAGGGTGGAACACACATGATTTATAGGAAATTGTATCCTATGTATGCTTATAGTGGTAATGTAAGAATGTCCTAGGTTTAAAAAAATTTTTTTTAATGAAATGCTTCACAAATTTGTGTGTTTTCTTTGTTCAGGATGCCAATCTCTGTGTTGTTCCAGTTTTAGTATATGTGCTGCTGAAGTGAGCACCTTAGTGCTTTAAATTAGTTAAAAATTTCAGGTGTAGCTGAAGTACATCGCATTGTAATGAAAGAAAAGCTGTAAAATTATCATCAGTAATCTTTGAGAGATGCTACAGATTTACAGGCATAACCGAAAAATGGAAGTGAATAAAGGTTTTTCTTATTTAAACAAAAATTATTAAAATTACACAAAGTGAAAAATTCTTGCAAAATTTTAAATTGTTATTAGTAAAGTTGCAGGATACAAAATCAACATTCAAAAATCAGTAGTGTTTTTATATACTAACAGCAAACTATCTAAAAAAGAAATTAAGAATACAATCTCATGTATAATAGCATAAAAAATACTTAGTAATAAATTTAACCAAGAAAGTGATCTGTACACTGAAAACTATAAAACATGGATGAAACAAATTGAAGATGACACAAATAAATGGCAAGATATCCCATGTTCATGGATTGGAAGAGTTAATATTGTGGAAATGTCCATACTACCCAAAGTGATATACAGATTCAGTGCAATCCCTACATTCCTATCAAAATTCCAATGGCATTTTTCACAGGAATAGAAAAAACAATCCTAAAATCCATATGAAACCACAAAAGACCCCAGATGGACAAAGCAATCTGAAGCAAAAGAACAAAGCTGGAGAGATTACACTCCCTGATTTCAAAATATACTACAAAGCCATAGTAATAAAAACAGTATGATGCTGGTACAAAAACAGACGTATAGCCCAACAGAACAGAATAAAGAGCCCCAGAAATAAATTCATACATTTACTAGAAAGAAACATGATGGAGAAAAGTCAGTCTCTTCAATAAATGGTGCTGGAAAAACTGGATACACACATGCACAAGAATGAAATTGGACTTTCGTCTCATACTATATTAAAAAAATCGACTCAAGGTGGATTAGAGACAAATGTAAGAACTGAAACTGTACAAATACTAGAAGAAAACATAAGGAAAATCTTCTTGACATTGGTCTTGGTAATAATTTTTTATATATGACCCCAAAAACACAGGCAACAAAAGCAAAAATAGACAAATTCGATTGCATCAAACTAAAAAGCTTCTGCACAGTAAAGGAAACAGTAAACAGAGTGAATGGGAGAAAATATTTACAAATCATGCATCTGATAAAGGGTTATTGCTCAAAATGTATAAGGAACTCAAACAACTCAATAGCAAGAAAATAAGTAATCCAATTAAAAAATGAGCAAAGTATATGAATACACATTTCTCCAAAGAAGGCATACAAATGCTCAACAGGTATGTGAGAAAATGCTCAACATCACTAATCACCAGGGAAATGCAAATAAAAACCACATTGAGATATCACCTCACACCTATTAGAATGGCTGTTCTCAAAAAGACAAGATAACAAGAGTTGGTGAGGATGTGGAGAAAAGGGAACTTTGTACACTGTTGGTAGGAATGTAAATTGG